GGAGTCTGCTCTGTATATGGTGGCGTTTTGCCACAGCAAGCTGGCCCAACATCCCAACGTTCCGTCATCACCACAAACGGGGCCAGGCACTCTCGGGGATATAGGCATGCTTTAGCTGGATGGCCTTGACCAGGATGGTGTTGAAGTGTAAACAGAGGTGGTGAACACGGCTCTGACTCTCGACAGTCATCTTCTGCGTATACGTTGCGAAAACACTCTCCTGTAAATACACCTCAAGCACCCTGGTCGACAGCCAACGACCTTTCCTCCGGACATACTCCGCATCTTCTGTTTTCTGCAGCCAGAACGTGGCGCCCCCCTGGACGGAGGCTCGCCAGCGAGTAGGGCAGGTTTCCCGGCCCGAGGCCCCCCGTCCAAGCCAAGTGCTGATTGCAATGCAGCAAACCTCTTCCGCAATGCTGAAGGTGAGCGGTTCCATAAGGGCTCGGAGGGAAGCAACCTCGCAAAAACAGCATCTATCAATGCAACAACGTCAACCGGGTCAATCCTTGACGACTGATGTCGTGCAGCTCGTCCTCGAGTTTTCGGGAGGCGGATCTTCAGTAGTGCATAAAGCACTCCTGGAGCAGCATCTCGGGGAAGTATCAAATCTTCCCTCTTCGCAGCAAAGATTTCACCTATACGAAGAACTCCAGACCAACCCATGGCAAACAAGGCCGCTTCGCGGCTCCAACCCCATAGCAATGCAAGGGCGACTGTCGCCAATAAAATGGAATGGGGTAGTGCTGTGTTGTGCTCGTGAGGCTCATCAACGACCCAGTTGAAAGCTAAGTCCCAACAAGCAGCAACCTGCTTCCGCAAAGCCGGCCTCCTGGCCGTGACTGCATTGATGGTCTCAGAGAACCTTCCATAGGATTTCCCTGAGGAGTACAGCTCCTTGCCGTATGCTACGAGGGCATCTGAAATGGCCTCTGCATCGAGGGATCGAGGCTCCAACATAGCTTCGAGAGTGGTCCTGAGGTTCTCGGCAACCCATCGATCAAAGGCGGCCAACAAATGATCTCGCCTGTTTCGGGTGCTCTGCAGTATCACTCGGTCGGCTTGCAGGACATTCCCCGCACGCCTCTCGGCTCGCAGAGTTTCGTCCTTATTGCAGGGCTGGAGTGGCATGGCACATGCGGGGCGGAGCGCGGCCCAAATGGCTGCAACATGGATCTGGGAACCAACCCTAAAGCCGGTAAGGGGGTGACCGTAAGATCTCCGACTCCCTAACCCATCAAAAGTCCAGGTAGCAGAGAAGTCATGGGGAAATCCAGACCTGGAATGGAGCAGTTGGGTGCGACAGAGCAAGGAAAGGCCAAAAATCAAAGCCAAAGTCCAAATCCAATGATTCGAGAGTGCATAATGAAGTGGGCGATCGCTAGAGCTGGCTGCGACACCAGGGCAAAGGCATAGGACAACCAAGAGGTAGAGCCTGATCCAATTGGCTGAAGCCCTTGAGAACTGATGGGCATGCAAGGTGGCGATCTCCTTTGGAGAAAGATCTGAGAGCACTGAATGCCTAGCAGGTTCAGGAAAATCTTTATCTCGGGAGGGAGCATCGGCAGTGTTGAGCCTCGTTGGTGCAAAACCAAAGGAAGGATGGAGGTTGCCAGCAACTTGATATGCGCATGATCTCATCAGCGAAGGCCTCAGGGCAAGCGATGAAGATCGACCCTTGGCATGGGCTCCTTTTGCAACTCGGCTATCAAGCAGAGTCATGAACCGGCAGTCACCTCCACCCTCAAGGAGTCTCCTCTCCAGAGCCACAAAAGCCCGACTTTCCAAGATGTTGATGTGGCCAGGCTTGCCCCAGACCCAGTGCGCAACAGTTGACCAACCATCTTGCACCAGAAGGTCATTGAGGACAACACTCTCCAAGGAGGTAGTGGGAGTAGATGGCGGCTCAGACTTCCTCAACGCAGAGGCAAAGCACTCGGCGATCCTCCTAGCAACACCAGGATGATAAACTGCGGAAGGCTTTGTGAACTTCCCCTCGATCCGTACATGATGGTGGCCTCCGGGGCAAGGGACTGTCAGCATTTGCATATCAAGGCCCCAACCCAGGAGCCGGAAAGGCTTCTTGTGTGGGCTACCAAAAGCACAGGAGTTCAATGCGGCCTCAGTAAAACCAATATCGAGGAGGTACCTCCACATCGGCAGCCAAGCCATCTTCGATAGATAAGGTGTCTCCAGAAGTGACGGCGTGCCACATCGCCAAGCAAACCACAGGATAGCAAAGCTCCTGAAGGCCAACAAATTCCCAAGGTGGGTCTTTGGGTCCCTCCGGTCAAAGCCAAAGGGCATCTTGTAGGACCTCGAAGCAGGATGCTGTGCCGGAGAGAAGGTGGTGCAGGGCGGTTCACAAATGAGGCTCCTGAATCTCTTCTCATGGATCATCTGAAAGATCCAGTCCAGTAGCTTGTGGTTGCTGATGTCATGATGAGGGCTTTTGGACAAATCGATCGGTGCGCAAGTGACCAGGCCCAGTTCAGCAGCAGCCTTTGACAACGTTCCGGAGCCACCAAAGATCTCGACGAAGTCAAACTCAAAAGGAATCATCTTCTGAGGAGGGTTCATGAGGTCGGCAGAGACAGGCTCAGCATCACGGTCCTCGCCAATGCTGCGTAGCATAGCCCTGGAGGGGGCATCCAGCATAGTGTAGGCTCCCTTCTTATCTCCTCCCAACCAAAGAGCTTCAGCAACCTCCTTGCCAACATGCTTGCAGGTAATAGCTCCCTTCGCATTGGAGGCATCTGTCGCATAGATCTCCTCAAGGTAGGGGGGGCTGAAATGTCAGTGGCCGCTGCAATGCCAAAGATACTGGCCAGGACGAGCTCCTCTGCGGTGCGTCTAGTCAAACTCACGACCTCATCGGCGCTGGACTCCGTCTTGTTCCCCAGCGAGAATAACTGAGAAAGGATGCAGCACAGACAACGCCTGAACATCAAAATCGAAACCCAGTTGCCAGCAAGCCTGGAAGCAAGAGTCCTCGAGATAACTGGAAGGGCCGCAGCTCGTAGCGAGAGTGCAATCATAGGGATCCTCTTTGACAGAGGGGCTGCAACTGAAACTATTCCAGCATTGCGAGCATAATCATCAGAGAGGATCTCTGCACCAACAACCTTGAAAGTCTCAGCCCCTCTGATGGTCTTGTCATCAGAGCCAAAGACTCCTTCGCTTTGGTAGATGCTTTCTGCTCGGGCAAGATGACGAACGGACTGTGCTTGCATTGGAGGCGTGCTTGCTTTCTCCCGACTGATGGCGAAGTAATCGTCAATGACCAAGCCCTGCCAAGAGGGTCCAGCAGGAAAGGTATGATGGGCCAAAATGGTCTCATCATTTGCAAGTAATCCCCCTCTCTTCAGGAGGTTTGTGTGGCTTTCCAGAGCGAACTCAACCCCCAAATGGTCTCCTTGGAAGAGGCTTTTGAAGCCACAGACAGTCGAAGAGATGTCTTTCTCCTTGAGAGGCTTGAACGGGGCCATCCCATATCGGTCACCATGGGTCTCCCTGGACACCTTTCCACTGGCGCTCTTCAGCATGTCCTCCCAGGCTGACAGGCAGCGAACCTGAGCAGCTTCGAAATGAAAAGGGAGAGTGTTTGTCAGGGCGCGCTCTCGTGTGACAGCAGCTTGGTGGTAGAAGTCCTTCCGATCAGCAGCGCAGCCAACAAGCTTGTACCCTCGAGGGCAGTGAAGGGAGGTCGCAAGTTGCCCAGAGGGGAGGTAGGCTGAAGGTCCTCTAGGATGGCACTCTGCAGCATTGAACCAGCGCCTATCTCCAATCTGTCTATCAACCTCCTCATTCTTGTGTGCGTTGAAGACCCTGCAAGCGAGACCCGTAGGATGAGCTGAAGGAAACATCGCGAGCAATCCCTTGCTATCCCAAAGCCTCGCTAGCTTCAAGTTCTCTTCAAGGTCTTCTCGAGCAAAGGTGGGACCATCAGGGCCCAAAGGTAGCCCATGCAGAAGTATGCTCGGATCCTGGAATGGAAGCCAAAGGCAGCTGTCGAGGTGCTCTTGCAGGTCCCACTTGCCCTGACCAGAAAGCTTGAGTCTATCGGCCTCAAGAGCTCGATATGGCTGAAGCGGAGAGAAGGTAGATGTAGTGCGAAAACGGTGCTCCTCAGAGACCCTTCCAACAACTTCCTCAGCGGAGTCCTCATTGCCAATATGGCCCCCCGTAGCCGAACTCAAAGGAGGGGTTGGTGTAGGCAAACTTCTCCAACTCAACGAGCTTTGCAATGAATTCAAAACCTGATCTTCCAGGCGGCAAAGGATAGGTGCAGCCTGATCGATCACACGCAGTGATCAGCGCCCGTAGTCTCCTGAAAACGGAGTGCTGTGCCAGTGAAGGGCGCCTCCCAAGTACACTCATCGGCAAAGGTCGAAACCCATAGTGGATGTAGTTCAAGGCCATGGTGAGAACGTGAAGAGCTCGCCTGTGACACAATTTCTTCCACTTAGCCCGTGAGAGCTTGAGGTCACTCTGCCGGCTAAATAGGCCATCGTGAGGGATAGGCAGAGGAAACACTGCGGTAGCTGGACCGAAGTTCAAGCGACGGACATGAAAAGATCTGGCAAGTAAAGCCGCGAAGGCCGTCCTGGAACGTAGGACCCAGCGGATGAGGCAAGCAAGCAAACCATCGAAGGATACCTCAGCAGCAAAGTTCTCCTCATCCCGGCCAGGAACCTCTACTCCTCCTCCACGGTCTGAGGGGACTGGCTGGCTTTCGCCTTTGGGCCTCCACGACCCTTCCCCTTTTTCTTTGGGCCGGGCGTGTTTGGAGCAGTCTCCGATGCAGTCTGCTTCGTCGAGGTAGCTTCTACTCTTCTGTTTGAGATCACATCCATCTCCTTCAGGTACTGGAGGGCCGTCATGACCCACCTCTGATTGGCGGTTGGAGCAAAGGGTTTTGGATTTGCCGCCACTGCCACCGACCTCCCACTGAAGAGACTGTGGGGAGGATCCTCCACAAGGGCCAGAAGAAGCCCGATATCCATCTTCCCATTGTCCATGGCGGTTTGCTCCAGGCAGACAAACAGAAGGCTCATCGCATCTTTTGCAGCCAAGTAGTTCTCCTCTTGCGTGTGATTGAGGGCTAGAGCAACTTGCCAAATGATGAAGCCGATGTCCTTGGTTCTTCCGAAGCCTCCAAACCTTTCCAGATACTGGGTCGGTGTAACACCTCTGTCTCGTAGCACGGAGATCTCCACATCTGCCGACTGGGCGGGATACATCCGCCGGGACATGCTCTGCAGAACGCTGGTGAAGAAAGTCCCCTTGTGTGTTGCTAGCTCTGCTTGAAGTCTCGCCCTTCCCACTGAGCCCTTGCTGGACAAGGATGAAGTCGCAGAACTCATGTCGCTGAAGGGGTCGTTGACATTGTTGGCCATCTGAGCAACCAAGGCAGTAAGAGCCTGAGATTGAGCCAGCATGGCTCTGGCAAAGCCTGACGAGCTCTCGGGAAGGTCCACCAGCATCTCTTCGGTATCGCTCTGTGTGAAGGTCACCTTGGGCTTCAAGGGTGCAGAAGACTTCGGAGGGGGGCATCTCTGATACCAAGCTCTTCAAAAGCAAGGGATCTCCTGATCCAGCTATAGGCAAGTTGCCAATGGGCTTTCTCAAGGCTGAGGCCCTGTCTGTCACTTGGGCGGTGGTTGCCTCCATCGCTGACGTCCTCTGGGACAGATCTTGCACCTAATTGACCAGTGCCGGAAGAGTCTGACTGAGCTCCTCCAAGGTCTGTGCTAAAGAGGCCACCGTAACTCTCTTCTTTGGAGTTGTCGGTGTAGCTGAATCTCCTCCTTTTCCACCACCACGTGGAGCTGTGGCTCTTCTTCTTGGAGTTGATCTGATGCCGGGACCCGGCGGATCTCTCGGGGAGCCAAGCTGCTCTTCTGCAGGGATGGGTGTCATAGGCACCTCGTCTGCTGAGTAAAAGTGAATCCTCTCGGCGACTGCTTCCAAATCTCCTCTTGCCCATGCCAGGGCTTTTGCAACCAAGGACTCCGGAGACGGAATCAAAAGCGGCTCCCGGTAGTCGAAGGTCAGGAGATCCATAATTTCTGAGGCGTCCTCCAAGCCTCTCATACACTGCAAAACCTCTGTACTGAAGTCCACCAACTCGGCGGGGATGGAACGGTCCCGAACAGGTAGAGGTTCCTGCAACAATGAAACTTCGTTCAACATTGCAGCTCCAAAATCTGCTTTCAAATGGGGCCCGACCAAGGCGGTGGACTCCGCCGTATCTCCTCTGGCCAGGACTTCGCCTGGGACAGCAAGTTCTGGCAAGGCCAGCAGGACACCATCCTTTCTTGCTAGCACCACAAAAGCCAGGCATTGTGCGATGTGAGCTGAACCAAACCCCAAAGTAGCCAAGTCCAACACGTAGGGAAGAAACATGGCCGGGCCGAAGTCTGAGTGCAGCGGAGGAAAACCCTCGTCCTCCTCCGGGATTCCATCTGCTATTGAGACCTCCTCCATCTCGACTAGGGGAAAGGAACGTTGACGAACCCTGCCCCGGCCAAGTACACCTCTGTCTCAACCTTCGATGGGAAGCCGTGGCACAAAGTATCGGATCCCTCCAGGGACCCCACCGCAGCAAAGAGCTCCCTGCTCGATCGGTAGACCTTGGGCGATGAGATGTTCGGTCCCCTGACCACAGCGTAGTAGCGGTTCCCCAAGTCAATGGTGGGAGTACGATTTGGGCTTTGTGCCCTGCCAGCTCTGACTGCCGCTGCCCAGCTACCAGCTTTCCAGGCCCTCTGCACTCGTTGCTCAGGGGTCCACCCTCCAGTTGTCCTAGCCAAGGATGCGGCCAGCTGCTGCAGATGAGTAGGGCAAGGAGCAAATGAAGCCTCAATGGATGCCCTGGTCTCCCTCCTCGGTGGTGTGGATGACCGTTCAACTTCCTGCCAAGAAGCAATGCTAGGAGTGCTCGAAGCAGCAGGCACACGAAGATCACTGGAGTAGGCCCCCGCAGGGAGCGAGTCGGGTACTCCTCTGGTGGTGTCCTGGGCCAAGCGATGCACGAAGGAAGCAGCTCGATCAGCGTTGCCCCGAACAGTGATCTGCAAGCCCTGGAACTCCACAGAAAGATTAAGTTCCTCGTCTTCTCCGCTGGCTGGGGACGAGCGATTGCTCATTCAAGTACGCCCGGACACGTTCCGGAGGAGGAGCTGCACCTGCAGGAGATGGAGTCGCTAGCCAGGGAGGTCGAAGCGAGAGAGCACCAAGGCCCCAAATGCAAAAGACCAAGGTGGTGAGAATCCCGACGCACAGGCCAAGGAGGAAGGCCAAAAGGAGCGAGGGTACTCCCGAGGCGAAGCAGTGCGCGGGGCACCCAATGCCCCACCAGTTGGTTTGGGCGCCGGAGATCACCAACCCAAAAATTTTGGGGGGCCCAATCCCAGACCATGAGCTTGAGCGTTCACAAAAACGCACATCGAACTTACAAAGGACAATGCTTCTGGAACATAGACCTTGACATTTAAACAACGTCCAATATGAGCTTCCAACGCTGTGAAACGTTGCCACGGGCACAAAGTGCACAAACTGGACGAAGGGCTTCAGGTTAATCTGGCCTCATGTGGCTGTCTGCCCTACTGGGACTCCTACTCGGATGCCTACAGATAGACTACAATGTTCTCTTGATGCCTCTGCAGCCTTAGCACCCGAGGAGCCCACCAACACATGTATTGGTCCACGGACAGTGATGGTCCATACTGGCAGGATACACCACACGCAATCTTTCTTCTTCTGGCACCAGTAAGGTCACCTAATATGTTTCATCTTGGTACACTGAACTAACTCTTCAACGCGGGGCAGCGTGGGGCAGTGCATGAAACAAGTGCTGCGTGCCTTAGCACACATCGACGACAACTGGAGCAGTGATGTGCTCTGGGCCTCAAAGACAGATGACTGAATTGCCTCACCATTGGTACACTGTCTGAGCTGATGAATATATAAGCAAGTCCCACGTCTCCTGCCTCCAACTGCGAAAGATGCCCTCCAAAAAATACGAATCTAATGCGGCTTTTTGGCGGCGATTGCAGGCAATTGAGGGGGGGTGGCTCACTACAAGCAAAGTCGGCGGTGCACCAGCTATCACCAGGTACACCAGCCGCATTGCAGGACCTTCACTGTGCCAACTCCGCGGTTCTAGTCCTTGATGAAAGCAAAGCATGAAGCTCAGGCTCCTTGAAGCTTTCTTTGTAAGCTTGGAGGTTTTACCTCTACCCTGGTTCTATGCAGGATCTATCTGGCGGCTCTTCTTCACGTCGGCCGAAAGCACTTCGAGCATCTCAAAGCTCTGTGCGAAGACGCCGGTCCTCTCCGAGCCATTGCTCCGCGGCTTTGAACGCGCCACTGGGCAATGCATTGATGAAGCGCCGGAAGAGACGCGTGGCGTCTTCTGTTGATAGATTGCCCTGAGGGATGGCCGGCAGTTTACCCCATTTCCAATCAGGATGTGCTTTGGAATGAAATCGGACTACTTCTGCAATGGCAGACCACGAGCCACCTGCAGGTGTGATAAAGCCACTGGCCTCAGCGCTCTACTCAGGCCCAATGTTATTCTTTAGCCTTTAGCTTTAGCTCGACATTGGACAGTTGAAGTTGAGTCACATCAGCGCCGCTTGCTAGGACAGGCAAAAAGGCTAAACAACTTTAGGATTGTAACTTTCTGGGCATTAGGCTACAAGTCTGGCAATTGGTGTAGGTAGTAGACCTTCTGACCATTTGTTGTCATTCTTGGTGATCGGAGGTCACAGTGTCTGTGGCCATGCCTCCAGAAAAGGATACTGTTTGACTTCTTGCATGATTCCGTAGGATCTCATCGGCCAGCTAGTCCCTTTCATTTCAGGGGTCCCGCAGCAGCAAGCAAGCGGTTTTTAACTGGTGCTCGGGTACAAGCCGCCATGAATGAAAGTATTCAAGTCACACCACACTAAAGAACACCCCTGCGCAACTGGCGGCCGCAGGTCTAGCGAAAGGGCTTACTGCACCTGCCATGCCAAACATTGAGCATGTGCCACGGGGGTCAGTGTTCGGAAGTGAACACAAAACATTTTGAGGAGTGCGTAAAGAAGAAAGAAGGAACATGTGAGTGCACAAGCCAACAACCGATCCAAACAGCTCACGCACCCAGACAAGAAAAGCACTCTCCGCCTTGCCACCCTTCACGCTTTGATATTTCGAGTTGTCCACCACGAATTCTGGGCCGCCGACCAGGCTGAGCGTGTTGCCCAAGTTCACAGCTTGATGCCACCATCCAGAAGGAATGATAAGGGCATCGCCCGAGTGCAACTTGGCCTCCCAAAGGGGCACCCCTGGCAGGGACAAGCAAGGGTGAAGAGCGCGGTGCTGTTAGCTTTTGAAAACCACAAATGCTGTTTGACGTTCTTCGAGTAGTAACAAAGGGCATCGCTACTAGGAGCAAGGACGCTACTAGTAGCTCCTTGCCTTACGACTAGTAACACGAAGCTACTAGGAACAAAAGGGCATCGCCATCGCCGCATCGCTATAGTAGCAAAGACGCTTTAATGGCTGAAATAGTCCGGGCCTCGTGGCACATCTTCGAAGAGATCCAAGTTGGATTCGTAGGCAATGCACCCCAATGCTGCACCACAGGTAGTATGCTTCACCTCCATTAAAGCAACATGCATTTCGGTGTGCGAATGTGTGATGATTGAAACTTCCTGCATGCACCATTGGTCTCGCGTATGAACCTGGAAAAGCCCAGTCGCATACGTGTGCGCCCGGTGTGTGTGTGTGTGTGCGTGTGTGTTTGTCAATGCGCTTGTCTTGAACATCTTGAACCAGCGTTGACAATGTAGCGTCTCAAGCTCTACGTAGCAACTTGCTGTCAAGACAGCCTACACCCTTGTGCTTGTCCCACTCCCAGTGGCACAAATGGCCTGCTCCAGCCGCTAGCCAATACCGGTCACCAGGGGAAGACTACAAGCGACCCCGAACAAATCGCTATTCCAGCTATTCCTATTCCTGGTCTATGAAGCCCGCAACTATCCCCAACTTGAAACTTCACATGCCTCACCTCAAGCACACCCGGTACATACAGAAATCTTGAAGATGCCAAGGCCAATTCAACCAACCCGATCCCCAAACACCCCTGAAACAAAAGCTGCAACAATAACAAAACTACACAAACCCAAAAGTCTTGCCGGCCGGTTGTCATAAACCCCCACAGAACTGGAGGGTCTCCTGCACAATCTCCGATCGAAGCGAATCGGAAACAAAAGCAACTACAGAGAAACGGTAGCAAACCTCAAGAAATAAAGCCATAGAGCTCTGGGAGCCCTTTGCTGCTCAATCTCCCTGGTAAGACAGATTCGTGGTTTATCTTAACATAAATGACTGAACTGGTGCGCGCAGGCATGGAAGTCCCAAACACATGCTGAGAACAAACACCATGGATGAAAGGACATGTCAATCTTTGAACCTCCAAATGCTGGTCATGGCCACCAGGCGGAATCAACCGCACAAACTTCTCCCCGCGGATCACAACGTTTGTGCCAGTCCAATTATATCGGTCGACATGAAGTTTTGACCTTGAATATCGGCCTCCCCAAAGCAAAGTGGCAGCTTGTGGCCGGAGCAGTTTTGGAAGTAATTCAAACTGGTTCAGAGATTCAACTGTCTTTGTCTTCGTTTTCTTGCTTGCTCCAAACATGCTTGGGAGCAAAGGACATGAAGCGAGTAGATCCGGATGCCTTTGAAGAAAGAAATCGTCACGGACATAAGACCAAGCTCGTTGAGAATTCTTGTTCACGTTCTTCACGAAAGTGCCCAGCTTTGCTGATAGCGTACGCTCTTTGTGCCCCTTCTCACTAGCTTCATGCGCCACAAACACGACCCGCTCATCTTTGAACGGTTCGATGAGCGATGATTCGACCCATCCCTCTTTGGTGCATGGCATCTTCTCATATGCTCGATCAAGGATTACAGGAATTTGACCTTCAAACTCCTCTCGGTAGTTTTCAAGACTGAGGCCATACTTGCGAACCACCTGCCGCGGCTTCGTCCAAGTCGGTTCCTTCAAGTTCACTTCATTGATCCCACAGCGATCAAGATCCAGAGACTCTGCCTGCCGAAACTTCAGCCATTGAACCTGATGGTCGGACACTTCACTCCGAATTGTGACTGGCAAGCTCCATGCCAGGACTCTTCGCATCGCGCTGAATCCTGCTTGAGCCTCTAGACATTTAGTCCATACATCTCAGAACACGGCTTCAGCAATTTCGTGGAAGAATGCTCTCAAAACGGTTGAAAGGTTTTTAGGCACCGTCCTACAGCTTGGTGAATGGCACCGTCCTCTCAGCCCGTGGCGGCTTAAAACCTTGACAGTGAGCACACCACTGAAGCAAATCATTCACCTCAGCCGTTTTGGTCACGAAACGACGCGAATGATGCAAGTGCAAACCACGCGAACCACGCGAACGCGTGACCGAGGCTTCGTCTGGGATTTCTTTGATTTTCAATGGCACGCCCTCCTGGCTTGAGAATCGGCGTCTTCAAGCGCTCGGAAGCTTTCAGGCGCAACATGTGCTTGATGTGATTTTCTTTCTGCCAAGGTGCTAGATCTGAGGCTTGGAGAAGGTTTGACAGCTCCTGATAAATGTCTTTCCAAAGAAGGTCCAATTCCTTCCTGTAGTGAAACGCATGTGTAAATATGTGGTTGACCTGACCGTGTTTGTTCCGAAGGCTACTTTTTTAGCCAAAAGTCCAGCTCAACACAAAACATCGCTTTCGAAGGGGACACTGCACGCACATGACGAACCTTTGACGCCATATGCTTTGGAAGGACCCCTAAGCGCTCTGAGACTCCAGTTGTAGAGGAGTCAAAAGTGTAGCAAAACACAAGAAAGTGGGAACACTTAAGTTCAGAAAGAACTTTCTTGGAAACTTTCGACTGGCCCTCGCCAGGAGGGGTGGGCACGACCCTTGGCATGACGCCCTCCACTTCCTCGCAAAGCATTTCCAACGCCAGCTCAGGCAGATTAAAGAAAACTCGAACAGGGCCAGTGGGGCCATTGACATCATCTGCAGTTGGAAGGGCCTGCGTGCTCTTTCTCGTGTACGGCAGGCTCAAGCGCTCAATATCGTCCAGGGCCATGCGTAGCAAATCTCTGGCATCCATGCACAATGTCTTAACCTCAACTTTGTTCCTCGGCTACTCGACATTGGAATTCATTGCTACTAGGTTGGAGGCCATGGCTCTTAGGTTGTTCATCTTGAACTAGACTAACACTCTCACACCCTCGCAAAGGATTCCAACCTGCCCAAAACAGGACAGGTGCACTCGTTTGCTTGCGATTGCTATGGAGCCCTTTGTGAAAAGCACGTGCAGTTGTTGGCTGCACACTGCTGGGACCTGCTGGTCTGAAGCATGGGCAAAGGGGCTCACTGAGAGACACCGGCAGAGCATGTGAGGGCCAAACATGGCAAGCCAGGACAACGCAATATTACCATATTATATCATGTTGTTCTGCGCCATTGATCGCTTCTGTAAATTGTCCACGTTTGCCATCTCCTTGCGTGTGCATGTGTCCGACATATGTGCTTGCTGGAAGTTACTCCGCCATGTTTACGGGTGCAACTCAAGACCAACAAACAACCACACACACTAAGCACAAGTTTGCACTACGTACACAATGAATGTTTACTGAACTTTCCACGTCACAAAACCACACGGACAGCGATGCACCGAGAACCCCGAAGCAGACTGTTCTAGCTAGAAGCTACGAACGTAACAAGGGCATCGCTACCAGGAACAAGGGCATTACTACCAGGAGCTAGAAGCTACTGTGAGAGAAAGAGAGCGCTGTAATTCTGCAGACCTCTGTTGGCAGCCCTTGGACATCTTGGGACCTGGCTTGCTTAGAAAATGTTAGAATGGCAGTGCTGTGTCCCTGTTGTTCCTTGTTCTTCGTGCAAATGGTGTGTTGAAAACAAACCTTTGAGAGGTTGTGTTTTATATATATATATATCCAAGTTGCCCTTGCCCTTTGGACCGATTTGAGACAAAACGTTCGGAGGGTTTGTTGCGTAGGACCCCTTGGGACTTGGCTTTGAACCCAGGTGTTTTGCTGGAGGATTGGCATTCAAAGAGCCTGAGGTAGCTTCGAATGCTTGCCGCCAGCCGTAGCTTCGTGGGGGTTCTGCAAACGTTCCACAGGCAGATTCTGTTTCATGTGTTGCTTTAAGTCCTGAGTTCTGAAGATTGGACGAATAGCACAAAATGGCTCAGGACTCAGGACAACATTAGTAGCAGGGACGCTATTAGGTGGAGGCCATCGCAAGTAGGTTGGAGGCCATCGCTACTAGTAACAAGAAGCATGCATACCAAACATACTTCCTTGTACTTTGCTTCGTGTCTTACAGTCTGCACTGCATTGTGGTGTCACAATCGGCGAATTGCAGTGGTGGGAATCCCCTAAGCTCAAGTAACAATCCGCCAACGTGGTGACCAAGGCTCAATGCAGCGTTCTTCTTTGCAAAACATGCTGCATCCGGATTGAGGTCGTTGGCGATGACCACACATCCCTTCCTGCACGATACGGCCAAATGCTTTTTCCCCCTTCTGAAAGCACCAGAATGGGAATATCAACAGAAACTTCTGGTCGGGACCTCCTCAAAACCGGACACACAAAAAAAGAATAAGGTCTGAAGAAAAAAAGGCCCAAAAAGCTTGGGAGTTCTTAAGCCCCAAAAAGAATTAAAAAAAAAATAAGCAAAAAAGAAAAGGGGTATAGACTAGAAAAAAACACACACCTATGGTCCAACGGAACGGTTTCGATTTCGGTTCACCGGAAGCCCCTCGCCTCGCGCACATCGTGGCCAAGGCCCCGGCACCACAGGCCAGGTCCAAGACGACGTCGTGGGCGTCACACAGCGTCCAAAGGCGACCCCGTTCGGCGGCCAGGCGAGAATTCCAATAGACCTCAAGGGTCCAAGGTCCAAACAGATTTGTTAAAACTGGACATGAAAAAGTGTGTGTTTAGATTGTTTAAACTGGTTTGTGTTTTTTGTGTGTTTTTGTTTGTTTTTGTGGTGCTTTGAGTGAATGAATCGGATTGTCTGGTGTAAAGAGAGCATACGATACAAGATGCTGGAATGCCTACGTTTCGTAAAGCCCGAGGCCTTCTGGAAGTCAAACTCCAGCTTCACCCCATGTTCTTTCAACGAAACTCGCGTGTCATTCTCACCTGCGATGACTTCCATGTCAAGCGTGCGGAACTCGTTCGTGACGACTCCAAGCTTCGCCACCACCGTCTTTACGCATCGGTTTTTGTCCAAACAAACTTGGCCGATCAGACATCGATGTGGCCAATGTTCCTCCTGCAGGTTAAAATGGGCAATGTGACCCACAATCTCATAACCAGTGGGCACAGTGACCAACGGAGGAAGTAACTGTTTCAACGCATCCTTGTAGCTATAGCAGTTGTAGTCCAGGGCAAGCTTGTACTGGGTCAAGGATCCTTGAACCGATTTCATCTGCTGCTGCAAGTTGGGCGGAAGGCTCTTGGGCTCCACGTCCGGCGCCAAAAGCAAAAGAGTCAGACCGTCTTCACGTACCACATTGAGTACACCCTGCTCTTTCCGCTGTGGATAGCAAAACGCATCAACGCCCGGCATTTGACGAAGACGATAAGCCCCATCACCTGGACATCGAACAGCCCAAATCTCCTCAATGTGCCCAAAAGGCTTGGGACAAGTTATGCGGTTTGAACCACACCACCTCCCCGCAAGAAATGATAAACTGAGCACTTCCAAGAAAATACAAATTACAGTAAACTACTAAGGAACGGCCTCCATCCTACTAGCGATGGCCTCCACCCCACAAGCGATGGCCTCCAACCTACTAGCGATGACCTCCATCCTAAACGAAAGACAAAACAGAGATGAAAATAGGAAGGTAATGGTATAGAACTTCTTTTGAAGGATTGTGGCACGTGCAGCTTGGAGATGTCTTGGTCAGAAAGGCTCCTGAACGGACTCAAAGACGTTTTTGAGCTCATGGCCTTCAGAATTTTGGTGATGGCGTTGTTTCGCAAAACCAGGTCGGCCTCGAACAAGTCCCACCAAAATGAGAGCACCTCCTGCAATGCCAAAGCCACAAAGGACAAAGTTTGGGTGAACTTGATCATTTCCATCAGGATTCAAATCGTGTGAGCGCGTGAGCCGACCAGGGTAGACAATCAAAAGGACACTACCCTCATTTTTTGCTTTTGTATAGGCGCTTCTTGAAGCATCATGCACCAGTGCAATGTTGAGGTGTATGTTTGGCAAACTGTTGCCTTCGTCGCTGGTTTCTCCTTGTGTGTGTGTGTGGGTTTCTTTCTCCTCATTTGTGTCCCTAAAATGAATCGTGTGATTGTCCTCGCACGAGGGTAAGTCGGGATTCCCGATGTGGTTGATGGTGTCGCACAGGAAGCTGAAGCTGAATTCGTGAAGCTGAAGGCCATGCAGGTGCAACAGCGACACGCCCAAGCGCCATCACTAAGACTGTCCACCAGGCTCGAGCCGAAGCACCCATCCAATGGATCTGAGCCATCTGCAAGAGCAAAGAGCTATCACAAGGTGTTCAATGTTCATTGAATGGCTCCTGCTCAGAAGGTTTCCACCCAAGGGGCACAAATCCTGCGAGACAAAAATGACACAAACAGAAATCTGAAAACGGGCTCGTCGAAGACTGGCCTGGACCACGAAGGACTGCTGTAAGGTAGCTAATCTGGAACCGCGGGTCGTGAGACCGCACAATATCTTGAAGTTCTTTGACTGTGGCAAAACTGCACTCCAATTTAAGAAGTATATATGTGTTTCTTAATCTTGTACTTTGCCTTCGTTTTTCTAGTACAAGGGCAGTTCGGCCCACATTTGGTAGCATCCCTTCTTTCACTGGGCAGCTTGCAAGCACACAAAGAACCTCCACACCTTAACTGACGATGACAATTGTGACTAGCAGCTTTTTGCTTATATTGAACAAGAACGTCAATAGCTTCTGCGATTGCTTCACCAAGGCGCAGAAGAAAAATAATTCCTTCTTCCCATGCTGCCAGAAACCGACCTCACTAAAGAATAGACAAGCCGCCTCTGCATCCACATCACGAGTACACATGTATCACGTTGCAACATATTTATATACAGGTTTGTATGCCTGTCTGCGTGTCAGTTTTTTGTCCGTCACATGCCTCTCGCTCACTGCTGGCTTGAGGAGCTTCATGTGAAGCTTGGTCAATTGTACTGAGTTCTCCTTGAGTGACTTGGGACAGGGGATACGTCCCATGTGTGCGTTGCTGGATACGTCCCCTCTTCGCAGCCGGTGCAGCTTGCGACCTTTTGCAGGCATTCCTGAACTGCGTGATTCTCTTCCCGAAACGGGCCTTCCAAGGGATGTTGCTGAATGCACTGATGAGCTGCTTGCGTGGCTCCAATCTGGTGTGCGACTAATATCTCTTGCTCGCGAAATGCTCAGGTCATCAGAAACAGCAGCTCATTGCCCCGCTTTGCCCAGTCCGACAGTGTCAAGCCGATCTGGATTCGACGTGATTCGACAACGAATCCAGTCTGTGGCCAATAACTCAGCAGGCCATTTTCAGGCCTAAGGGAGGCTACGAGGTGGTGGAAGTGCGACGATTGGCCACGAAAGCGTTTGTCTGAGGTGAATGAAGGCGAGGCGCTTCTCTGGCTCACTCCTTTGCACTGTTTTTTGGCACACTCTGATTTGAACCCGTCGCAGTGATCGCGGATCGTCCTCTGCCTTAATTTTGAAATCCCCTTGATAGATGATGAACTTTCAGCCACTTTTGGCCAAAGGTAATCGCTATAGGACCCTAGGTGGTGGTGGTAGTCGCGTTACCTTGGCGTTGCTGTTGTGGGTGCTCTGGTGGGCAAAGAAGAAACACACAGAAGAACAACGAAGAGGAAGCAGACGAAAACGCAGTAGCACAACACGAGCAGAAGAAATGAAAAAAGAGCCAAAGAAGCACCGGACGGAGGAGCACAAGAAAAGGCAGGAGAAAAGAAGCAAAGATAGAACACAAACACAAGCCAAACGAAAGAAAAACTGTGACAAACGCACATGACGGAGAAGGATTAGAAAAGAATTCCCAAAACAAGCGGAGGAAAAAAATACCAGAAGCTTTAACTTTAGATCATATACTATTCTATAATGTACGGCGGGGAAGGAACAGTTCCCAGAAGCCTGAGGGTCCAGGCAAAGAAACAACTGAGGTAAACGAAGCATCTGCTTGGAGGCCGTCGCTACTAAAAGGTTGGAGGCCATTGCTATTAGGTTGGAGGCTAGTCTGACTGTGCTCTAGAGAAGTACTGCCCACTGAAGGTAGTGTGCCCTGATGACTTGCTGAGGGTCAAGCCGGCATGATCCAACCTAAATGGCCATGAGGTGCAGGAAGATTTTCAAGAAACAAGGAACAAACTTTCCAATCTAATCACAACAGCATCTGGGAACTTGAAGAACGTCAAAGTCTGCAAAAGCACGTAGCTTGGAGCAAGCTTCCGATTCAGTAAGTACGCCCAGGCACCGTGGTACACCGTACTGGCAGAAATGCCAAGGATCAAAGACATCGTCACGGCTGGTGTGAAGCCAAATAAGCGCCTCCAGCTGGTTATATACTGGAATGTGTGATCAATTATCAACTTTTCTCGCATTCAACACACCTGTGGTTGGCAACTGCATTGACGGAATCAGAACATCTCAGAACACGTTTTAACCCGAGAGCATGCGACAGTTCAAGTTGCCAGACTGGCTGCGCGCTTCGCTCCAGCACTTGCATAGGAACTCTCAGAAAAACGTCAGGTTGCCATCAAGCTGTTCACACAAGTTCACTTTGCCATCACTCTTCCCACAGAGGTCCCTGAGCCACATCTCGCAAAAGCTGCAAGACGAGGGTGGCATCTTTGTAAGACTCCTGCAGCTTTGCCAATGACCATCTCATAATCTAACAACGCCCTTTTAAAGTGCAAGGCCTGAGAGACCTCTTCCTGTAACCACGAGGTTGAAGGAAACTTTCAATCAACCTATTTTACCTGGTGGTTATGTGCAAGTCCCAACTTGATAACCTGGCAGCATTCACTTATCAGCCTGGTGGCCAGGGCACGGACCCAGCTTAGCAAGTTGGGCTGAAATCCTTCGACATGTCGATTGGACAAACGCGCTTTAGAAAGCCTCTGCAGAGCGTGCGCAAAGGAAAAGAAAGTGCAGGCCTTGTGGGGGGAGAGGGTTCTTCACCAAACGTTTGCAGGTCAGCCGCTCTCAAAAAAAGCAATATTTGAGTTCCCTCGTTTCCGCGTGCTCGAAACTCCAACTGCATCCGCACTCAAACTGCCACATATGCGATCAACACCTGCTTGTGAAGCGATTGATTACTGTCTGATTTGTAATAGCCTTGGTCCAACATCTAGTTTCAAGGGTTCTGCGTTCCTGACTCTTCTCGTTTTTTTTGTGTTGCAAGAAGGCCGGACTTATGGCACGATCTGGACTTCGGATCTCCATATCTTACACCAAATGCAACAACATTCATCAAACCCTAATGACAACCCCTGAAGGGTCATTCGAGAATGGCGTCCATCAGCCAATGGGGGGGGAAGTGCGCAAGAACGTCTTGTGGCGAACCATGATCTTGCTCTCAGCTGTGAGGTGGTTTTTTACATCCTCTTCAGCTGTGAGTTGGACCCCACACAACCCACCATGCAAATGCAAGAGTTTGTGTGGTACTTGTGACGCTACGTTCGTAACAAGGGCCTTAACTACTAGTTAGAAGGATGCTACTTGTAGCGATGCCCTTGTTACTAGTAGCTTCTAGCTATTAGCAGTACTTGTTGCATTGCTCAGAAACACGGTTTCCTCACCATGACTTTACCATGCCTCCGGGATGTCATCAAGGACCTCCAACGCTGCATGGAACGTCTTTCGCGCTTTCAGTCGCGCAGCTCGTTCATCCAGATCGACTTCGGCAATGAAAACTGAATAATTCAATGCAACTGCCAAACGCATCGGATGGCAAAGATCCAGATCTCTTTCGGCCAAAACCTCTGCTTGACAATAGCTCCAACGAGCTCGTTCAAGCATCCTGCTTTGCACATCGCCCTCGTGGCATTCCGCCAAGTGTCGATAGTAGTCCGCTTGCATCTTTTGATAGAAAACAATGTCTTCAGAGGAATTTGCATTCTCCAAGAGCTGATGCAAGATCTCCAAAATGTCGATGCAAATTCCTCGTGTTTCTTCTGCGATCTGATCACCATATTCTTGTGCGTACAGGACACGTAGTGATGCATCAACTTGCTTGTGACAGACTTTTTCCGTGGACCCTTCCTTGCCGGCCGCTGCCTGGGCTTCTTCAATGATACGCTTCATGGATCGGGAAGCCGCACGGCGCGATGCCACAGAGTTTTTTGTATGCCACAGAGAGCAGGTTCCTTTCTGTCTGGGACAGTGTCAGTGGTTTCGCAACGTCAATGAAGCGTTTCATCTCCTGTGCCATGTCATCAAACCTACCGGCCAGCTCTGCAACTTCTGCCAGGAACAGCTGTGCCATGGCTCTCACCCCTACATCGCACGCTTCCTCTGCACAAGTCTGAAAAAATAACAGAGCAATTACAGTAAAAAGGGGTGGAATTGATTGCCTTGGGCCTAACTTGCCACAATGATCTGAAGATTCTCGTCTCAAAAAAACTCCTTCGGTGATTCTTGCTCCTAGTTGGCATGGTTCGACCAGCTAGGCTCCGTGCCAGGCAGCTGCACAGCAAGCCCGAAGGCTCCTTTCATGATCCTCAAACTGCCCGAACCCTCTCCCAAGTCGTTTCTGTTTCTACTAGCGATGGCCTCCAACCTAGTAGAAACTATACTAATGACAGAATTGTGGAAAAACCTGAGTTTCCCTCCTGTCTGATGTTTCCCTCTCCCTACATCTTGCAGCTGTGTTGCGTGTCCGCTGGGCATGGCTGAATCAGAATCGAAGATTTCTTGGGGGTTGCTACCGAAGTGTTAGTGATTCACTGCAAGTCTAAATCTACAGCCTGCAGCATGTTTAACGAATCCGTGTGATGCCATCGGCCAATCTGATTCACTGTCACATCTAGCCACACGTGCTTGCAAATTTGATGGGTCGGTCTGTCTAGTGTGCTGGAAACACTTGAGATGCACTTTGCACCGTGCTGTTCTACCTCGCCAGCTTCCTGAGCAGCTTCAGGCTTGGGCCTCTTTGGCATACTCAAAACGGCACATTTCAAGCATAACTGCGTCAGCAAGGCCCGCGCCGGAGCACAAAGCGGGCTCAGTCACATGACCTCTTGTTCGATACATTTCTTTCTCACAAATCACGCGATCTTGAGGAAGTTTTGCATCGGAGCACCTGCTTCAGCTTCTGTCTCTGTTTCACCTCTCTAGTCTCATGTTAAGCCCAAAACGCAGACTCATATGTCTCATATGTCTCAGGTTTTCGTTTTCAACCCAGCACCTTCTTGGTGGACCAACAATTCATTCTCCTCCTCGTCCGTCGCTTGAGCTTTCCCAATCTGGGACATTTCATTTGGGTTCACAGCTTGGAAAAAACATGTCCATGTTCCAGAACTTGACTCAAAATCGCTACTAGTAACAAGTGCATCGCTACTAGGAGCAAGGACGCTACTAGGGGCTCCTGGCCGTACTACTAGGAGCAAGTAGCTACTAGTAACAAGAAGCTACTAGGTGGAGACCATCGCTATTAGGTTGGAGGCCATCACATTCATGTCACCTTATTCTCATGTCAATGCCATGTGGATGCTTGCGCTTGGACCTGCCCGGATTCGCTCAGGGCGATGTCCCAAACAGGATGATTGCTGGATGAAATTGGATGACAACATGATTCTCAGTCGTTCACCTGACGCCAATAAATAGCAGCCAAAATGGTCCAAATGGCTGACCTTGACCTCTTGAATGAGTGCTGAGAAGTACACAATACCCCTGGTGAACAAACAGTGCCAGATGGAAAAGGGTTGATAGATCCTGCAGGAAACAAATCGCCCAACGCCAGGCCAACGAGCACTTGAAGCAAAACAATCGTCATCAGCTTGACGAGGGAGCTCACTTTCCGTGCGAGGAGTGCTGCGCTCCGAACCGTACATGAATCGTTAGAACAGCCTAGAGCAAAACAGCCTAGCGGAAAGCATATTTAAACTTGTGAGGTCTTATGTAAAGGCGAAGACGTGTTGGATGTGTAAGTATATACTTGGAGTGAATCGCAGCAATGTGCCGCAAAATCCCTGAACCCTTGGAGTCAGATTCAGAACAAGAAGCCACTAGGAACAAGGGCATCGCTACTAGTAGCTCCTGGCGTGAACACTAGGAAC